AGAGAGAGAGAGAGAGAGAGAGAGAGTTAGGGATAGTAAAATAGTACCGTGTTTTCCCGAAAACAAGACCCTGTCTTATATATATTTTTGCCACCAAAAAAGGCACCACGTCTTATTTTCGGGGGATGTCATCCACTGACTAACCTCACTTGCGCGCGTCGCCCCCAGCCTCCTTTTCACTGTCAGAGGCCTTCAGGAACTTCTTCTTCTATGGCTGGCAAAGCTTTCCTGGAGGCCTCTGCAGCAGATAAGAGAGCTCTGGATCGATCCAGAGCTTCATTACCAGCTACAGAGGCCTTCAGGAAAGCATTGCCAGCTGCAGAAGAAATGGGCTGGCAAGGCAGGTGTTGGGGTGTGCGAGGCCTGGCTACACCTGCCCAGAGGTAAGTAGTAGGGCAGCTCCAGCCACCCATCCCCACCCTAGCTTAATTTTTACCCATCCACTCTAGAGAGGGCGGGATCATAATTAGGACTTATTTTGGGGGGATAGGGATTATATTGGATGCATATAAAAACCAAGCTAGGTCTTACTTTCAGGGTAGGTCATGTTTTCGGGGATTGCATGTTAGGTTTTTATCCTCCGGAAGGACACAGAGTATAGTTCTGCCAAATGATCAAAACATTTTTATTTATTTTTTTAAATCTTGGCTGAAAAATATTTTTAGTTGATTTGGGCCAATGTGTCCATACAGGAAAGCAGAATCTGACCATTTTGTATGCATTTATATAGTCCTTCTGAAGCTGAGTTTATGTAAAAGGGAGCTTTGTTACGGATCCTGAAAACGCCTCTGAGTTTTGAAAAAAAAAATACAATGTTTTTGTTTTAGATAAAAACAGCGTTGATGGTCACGAACCAAAGCAGAAGGAAGCATGAAAAGAAGAGTTACTCCTGGTTGAAACATCATACATTCCTGGTTTTTTTTTTACTGACTTTGGTGCTCAATCTTGGGGGTTGCTAAACCATGCCCATAAGAGAGTCCAGAACAAGGGCAATAAAATAATATTATACCTGATTAAAAGCTCAACAACACTTTAACCATTTGTATCCCTACTTCCTTCATCGGTCTAGTTTCAAGGTACTAGACACAGGCACCCCATCTCTGAAAATCTGTGATGACCCGGGGCATGACACAAAAATAACGAAGTCACAAAAGCAGAATAAATTCCCTTTAATGCCTCCAACTTGGCCCCCAATGTCCAATTATCCTCAGCTGGATATCAAACTCTTCCAAAAACAGTTTATGAAGGAAAGAAATGCAGTCTGAAACCAATGTAAAGATAATTAGAAATAAAAAAAACCAACACAAACCACACTGAAGTAATTAGTACGGCAGGCCAGGGTGATAAATTGCAGACTTCCACAAGATAATGCAGCAACCACAGTTGGGAGGATGCCAAAACCCAGATGAGCTTCAACAAAGGTAATACATGCTTTGCTTGCAGCAAGGAGCTGTGTGCAAACGCCCCACTTATGTCCTGTTCTCCCAGCTGCAACTAATGAAAGGGATCAGGGCCTTCTCTCTCACAAGCCATGTTGCTCCCTTCTCCATTCCTCCCTGCGTGCCCTAGAATGAAGAGGGGGTGGGCCTGGGTCTTCCTCTGAATGCCCAGCCAGACTGTGCCCTTCCCGTTTCTTCCACAGCCACCGGAGCCACACTCCCACTCCCTGTCAGCTGCTCAATCTCCCCCTCAGAATTGGACTCCAACAAGGGCATGACAAAATCCTTAATAATTTGGGTAGACATTTCACGTGTTCCAAATTATTCTTCCATTTAAGATTCTTGACTAAGATCACCAATTCCTGTTTCTTTTACAAGACCTTTTGGTCCTTGTGTTTTTAGGGGTTCTTTAACAAAGCCATTTCTTTGGTGAGTCAAGAGTCATGTGATGGCCTAGAGATGGAGCTCTCACCTCAGAAGGCTGTGGATTCAATCCTAGGAAGAGGCAGATATTTCTCTCTCTGGGCACGATGAGAATATATCTACCAAGCAAAACTCTGCACTGGCAACAGGAAGGGCATCCGGCCAATAAAACACTCTGCTAGCTCCATTCAGTTGCCCTGACTCCACCCCACAAGGGATTAAAAGAAGATGATGATTTGTCTGGTGAGCCAGTTTTGCAGAGCCTGTATTTGGAACGGGAAATCTTTTCGTCCCTTCGGAAACAAAACACGGCTTAATTTTGAAAGCCTACCTGGTTTGCATCTACAATCAACAGGACTCCTTGGCAAGCCGACAGTGACCGTGACACTTCATAGTTAAAATCCACATGACCCTGAGCAGAAGGGAAGAAACGTCTGATGAAGAGCATCAATAGATTGCCGTCAAGTTCTCAAATGGCGCACTGCTTATTTATCAGAAGAATCTCAAACCTCCGATGACCCGGGGCGAGGCACGGAAGCAACACAGCCAGAGAATAGATCTAACTCCCCATTTATTGCTCCAACTTTGCCCCCCAAGTCCCCATGTTTACTGCAAGACCTGGAGCAAAGCAGAGGTGGTATTCAGCCGGTTCGGACCACTTCTGGAGAACCGGTAGCGGAAATCTTGAGTAGTTCGGAGAACCGGCCAATACCGCCTCTGACTGGCCCCGCCCCATCTATTCTCCGCCTCCCAAGTCCCAGCTGATCGGCTGGGTTTTCTTTGGTTGCCCTGCACAGGAGAACGGAGCGGGAAAGCAGGTCAGTGGGTTGGGGAGGGAATGGGGATTTTGCAGTATATCCTTTCCCTGCCAGGCCTACCAAGCCATGCCCACCATGTCCACCAAGCCACGCCCACAGAACTGGTAATAATTTTTTTAATAAAAAGTTTTTCTTTATTAAACAAAACACGAAAATAAACAAAAAATACATTAAAAATGTTGAACATGGTACAGTCTTCCTAACATCGATCTTTGTCATTACTTTGCTGTCCAATAATAATAATACACAATTTCATACAAATATACATTAAATATACATATTATCATTCCTTATTCTCTTGAATCTTCCTCTTCTCTAGCCAACCATAAAATTTGTCCCATATTTTATAAAAACTCAAATCCTCCTTATTTTTTAATTCCTTTGTTAGCTGATCCATTTCTACGCACATCATAATTTTCCTAAGTATTTCAAATTCATTTGGAGTATCTTTATTTTTCCATTTCTTGCTGCAGTAATTATATGGATTATTAAGTATGTTTTCCTTGTCATATTTCCTCATATTAATCCCTAACAGAAAAAACTCTGGTCTATGTTCTATTTTCATCCCACATATTTCTTCCAGCCACTTATGTAATTTTTGCCAATATTTTTGGGCCTCTTTGCAACTCCACCACAAATGATAATAAAGAAAAAGGAATTTATTAAAAAAAAAATTAATCCCACCTCAGCAAAGCTCTCACACACACCTCCGACAGCCTCTGGCTGTGAGCGGCCCAGGAAGCAAAGTTAGCAAGGCAGCAAGCAAAGCAAGAAGCCCGAGTCATAACCAGCAAGGCACGTACCGGTGTATCGATGAGATTTAAGAGATAATTTGTTCCTTGGTGGTTATAAATGAGGGAAGCCGTCTGGGCTTTCACCGTAATGCCTCTTTCGCGTTCCACTTGCAATTTATCCAGCACCTGCTTATTATGGTCAGCTTTGGCAATTGCTCCTAGAGGATGAGAGAGAGAGAGAGAGAGAGAGAGAGAGTCCATGATCATTATTGTTGTGGTTTGCCAGCAGCAGGTGAGGATGGCTGAGGTCTCGGAAAGCGAGGACTCGGATGAGGGGCCTGTGTGTGATGCAGGGATGGGGCCAGGACCATCAGGGAATGGAGTGCTACCTTTGGAGATGGTAGAGGCTAACAGCAGTGATGAAGAGGTCCCCGAGGAGCCTGTGCCCAGTGCGCGTCCGCGCAGGGCTGCTTGAAGGAAAGAGCAGCTGCAGCAGCACAGGTGACTTGGGAGTAAGGCTGCAAAGTAATGGCCCCTCCTTCAAGCAGATAAAAGCCAGCTGAGAAACCAGAGTTCTTTGCAGGAAGCATTCTTGGTTGGTGCTTGGAGACTCTTCGTGTTTGAAATATTCCTTGGCAACTTTATCTAGTGTTCTTGGCAGCCTTGCACAACCTTGGCAAGGCTCGTTCTTATCAGAGACAATTAGTTTGAAACAGCCTTTTAACTGGGAAGGAACGGAATTCGTAAAGAATCATTAAAAGGTTTTGCTGTTACCTCCTAAGGTCGTTAAGTGAATAACCACGATTGTTAACCAAGATGTCATGTGATGACAAGATTTACAATTCTACTTCCCCTGCCATTATTAAGGAAATCACCTGCGGTCATTAAGGTCTATCACTTGCATAAAAGCCAATCTTTTGGGGTGTATTTTACAAACTATTTGGCTTAGCTGTGAGTATATATGGTAAACATTTTTTTCCTACAATGCCAGTCTGTTGCAGTTTCAGTAAATGAAACAATCCTAATTTTATCATGTCTAAATAGAACAGAAATCTCAACACTTCCTTGTTTCTTGACTCCAAATGAATATGTCAGCCACCTCCAAACTTAGCAATTTTAAGATTTGTGGACTTCAACTCCTAGAATTCCCCAGCCAACCATGCAAGGCTGTCATGCTGGATGGAGAATTCTGGGAAATGAAGTCCACAAGTCTTAAAAGTTGTCAATAAATTAAATTTTAAGAGTCACTTCCATGGAGAAACACAACATTTTAAACATGGAGGTCTCAGATATTTGAAATATTTTCAGAAAATACAAGAAACTTGGTATTACAACACATAACCAAATAGGCAAATAGAGAGGCACACATTTTATAAAAATTACTGCACCTGTTATTTCCAGCAGCCGATCAGCTAATGTACTCTTTCCATGATCCACATGGGCTACTATGCTAAAATTTCGAATATTTTCTGCAGGGAACAAGGACATATCCACTGTATCCTAAAAAAGATCAAAAAAGAAAAACACCGATTAGTTAAAAGCTGTTTAAAAACTGTTTCATGAAAAGAGTACTTTCATAAAAACCTTTATCTTCTGATTGGATCATAATAATGTATATTTCCCAATGAACATACAAACATGGTTAGAAAAAATGACAAAGGAACATAAAGCCAGAAATGTTCTTGTTAGGTATTTTGCCAGAAAAATATAATAGAGGGAATGCATATTGAATATTACATGTTTTGACGGCAGCGAGGATGGTATTTGCGCAAAACTAGAAAAATGAGGAATCCTTCAGATGAAAATATAATCAAAAAAATATTAGCATGCGCAGAAATGGGTAGGTTAACATTAAAGATAAGGAATAAAGAAGACATGGAATAGTTTTTAATTTGAGATTCTTTTTACCAATGGTTAGAAAAAAAAAGTAGAAATTAGGTGTTGGAAGATTATTATTATATACGAGTAAAGAATATTATTACTATTATTATGTATACCGGTATGTAAAATGACCCAGACAATACACTGTTCACCAAACGCTTATATATGTTAAAGAAAAATGTATTAATAAAAATATATACAAAAATAATTTGTATTTCCTGTTCTTTGGAATCAAACTTTTTAACATGGTCCCTGACTTAAAGGTAATAACTGTATGCATTTATGCAACAGATGCACCAGCTCTCTCTCCAACCGTACCAGCAAGTAACAAATTACAATCACCTTGTTTGTCCTGGAGCAATATTTCCTTGAGGGAGCAGCATGATTTAGAGATGGTTTTAATGTCAGAAGAGAAAGATACGAAAGAAAAGAAGTATTGTGGGGCATCGGACGCATGATGGAGATATATAATGCCCTTTTCAGGAATGAAGGCATCCTTCCAGATTAATCCCAAGATCAATGTCCGGGCTGAACAAAGGAAATGTTAACAGAACCCTATTATTTAAAATAATGTTTCTACAGTGATTAATTTCTATAATGACCAGAAGCAGCTTTAGTCCAATTTCCCCCCAAAAGACAGAAGTAGGTATTCTTATAAAGAACACTAAAAAAGTAGGGATGGGGGGGCTTTTCAAAAGAGACTGGACAACCACTTGTCAGAAATGGTATAGGGTTTCCTGTGTGAGCAGGGGGTTGGACTAGATGACCTCCAAGGTCCCTTCCAACGCAGTTAATCTGTCTGTTAAAAAAAAAACCAGCATCTATTACTGTGTCCATTTCTTCTTCATAAAACGGATAGGCTGGATAAATCGTGCAAAAAAGCCAGCTTCATTTTTCTTATTTACAAATACACATCCGTTGCTGCCATTTTTCTTTCCCTAAATTTGCAGTATGTATATCTATATCTATATATCTCTATCTCTCTTTAGAATAGAAGAATAGAATAGAATTCTTAATTGGCCCAGTGTGATTGGACACACAAGGAATTTGTCTTGGTGCAAATTCTCTTTCTTTCTTTCTTTCTTTCTTTCTTTCTTTCTTTCTTTCTTTCTTTCTTTCTTTCTTTCTTTCTTTCTTTCTTTCTTTCTCTCTCTCTCTCTCTTTCTTCCTTTTCCTTCCTTCCTTCCTTCCTTCCTGGGAGATAGGTCACTTCCCAGAGAGCGAGTCGTAAGGCATGGCACGAGAGACGCAAAGAGTGACTTGGCAGCTACAGAAAAATATGGCGGCGTATTGTGAACGAGGTCGCTGTAAATTAAATTTAGCTGAAATTTTAAACTTCCTCTTCTTTTTCTCTTCTCTGGTTTTCCATTGTGCTTCTGGTTTTCACTCCTTTGTCTTCTCTTGATAGGAGGTTGCCCTAAAAAGAATAAGGGATAACAGTTTCAATGGCAGCAAGCTTGACAGACCATTACAGAGAGCAAGGTTGAGCTTCACGCTAAGCAAGACATTTGTTAAGTGAGTTTTTGCCCCATTTTACAACATTTCTCATCAACGGTTGCTAAGCAAAGCACTGCAGTTTTGATAAGTTACTGACCCGGTCGTATGTTCCTCTTGGCTTTTAGGGGCTCACTAAGAAAGGATTTTTCGAAATGACCATCAGAACATTTAGAGTATTTCCTATATTATTATTAACATGCTCTGATGCTAAGGAGTTCGACTCCCCCTTGCCATCTGGAAAGAAATCTGGTCCAAATGCAAAACGCAAGCAGTGGAGTTTCAGTTTCAGAGCACCAAGCAGCTTTAGTATAGAACAGTTGAGCTAAGCCATATCCAGGCTCCTTGCTGTCTCCTTGCTCACACAGCAAATACTGTTTCAGTTTCCAGCCCTCAACTCTCTCACACTGACAGGATGCTAGCCAGATGAATACTGATGGGTGCTGGTAGGCAGAGGCAGAATTATTTTCCCCCTTATTTTCCTCCCCAAAAATTAAGTCCGACCGCATAGTTTCCTAGTGAAGCATGGGTATCCAGCTAGTAGAGTGATAAATGTTATGTGTTATGGTACAAAGCCCGGGTATCGAGCTAGTATACTCTAAGCATGATGCAACATAAATTTTGGGCTCAATTGTGGTGGTAATTCGAGGATAATATTTGATTTAGGAAATCTATAAATCAAGAGCAATCTGTAGCATTCAGTTTTTCCAGGTTTGGCAATGCTTATAGCTGGTTGCTACTGTCTCTAGCTGGATAAATAACATGAGTTTATATGATTTAATTCCCTATTTAAACATGCAACAGTTCCAGGATGTATTAAATATAAAATTAGGCAAGTGGATTATCATAAAAGCAGCTAAACTTTAAAACTTGAGTTGTGTTGGTGTTTTGTTGAGGATGACTTTCCTTTTTTTTGCTTTTGGTTTCCCATTCCTTTCTGTCCTGTGTTTCTTTTTAGTTCTCTTTCTTTCCTAATAGTATTTTTGTCCTTTCCAGACATCATGTTTCTTAAAAAGGAAGTTTTACTCTTTCTCTAATGCTGCCTTTCCAAGGTCTTTGCTCTCACAACAGAGTTGCATATATAAGGCAAACAAATGTATTTTATATACATTATATATTAAGAATTGTGTTTTTTTTTAAAAACACTCAACAATTCCACACTAAATAATACTAATAATAAAATCACAAAGTCCTAAATGCCTGGGAAGTGTTAGATTAGTGATTTGTGATACGAAACTCATCATAGTTATCTTGCTTGCTGTGTGCACTGTCATTTTTGTGTAGTAGTATAATAATAATAATAATAATAATAATAATAATAATAATAATAATAAT